GGTTGGGAAGAAGGGGTGACAGATTAGAAGGATCTACATATAACCTCCTCCCTGGGGGACGGACAGCGGAGAAGTGGGTGAAGGGGGACATCAGATGGTGTAAGATATGACAAAATAACAATAATTTCTAAATTATCAAGGGTCCATGGGGAAGGGAGGGAGGAGAAAAAATGAGGAGCGGATACCAGGGGCTTTAGTGGAAAGCAAATGTTTTGAGAATGATGAGGGAAACAAATGTACAGGAGTGTTTGACACAATGGATGTATGTGTAGATTGTGATAAGAGTTGTACGATCCCCCAGTAAAATGATTCAATTTTTTTAAACATCATCCTCTTTATTGCTGACCCTCCACTTCACTGAACCACTGAAATATTGGGGCCCTTGTGTTCTGAGGCCAATTCATCCACCCCCTTACCCAACTCTTGAAAACCCTAATCAAATCTGTGGGTTCACTCTGTCTAGTCCACTGGGGTCAGAAGGGGGCTACTTTTAGGGAAATAATGTAGAAGATGGGGGAGGGAAACCTCACTGCCATCAAATTATTTCTTTAAAAGAAACCTGATTTGAGTCACTCAAGGATGCCCCAACCCCCTCTTTGACAAAGAGTACAAGGTTTAGGTGGGGAGGATTCTCATGCATAGCTACCCTATAGGATAGGGTAGAACTGCCCTTTTGGGTTTCTGAGGTTATGAATCATCACAGGAGTAGAAAGCCTTAGCTCTCTCCCAGGAGTGGCTGATGGTTTCAAATTGCTGGCCTTTCTGTTAAAAGTTCAACACATAGCCCACTATGCCACCAGGGCTCCTGTAAAAGATGAAATTCCTGGGCAATTTGTCCAAGGTCCTCACTAATGGGAATGAGTACATCTCAGGGCCCAAACCGTGTAGGGTTTGGATCACATACCTCATTGCCAAGCCCACTCTTCACTGCCAAGTCAATTAGCAAAGGTCGGTCTTTGGCAGGCATATATTGGAATCTTAGTTCTACCTTGCCGACCTCGAAAAAATTCTTGAACTTTACTTCCTTTTCTTTCAAACGTAAAGAGGATTAAACACAACCATGTAGGATTAAGTCAGGCCTGGTACCGGGGAAGATGGGAAGAGATGCTAATTGATGGGCTACAAGTCACTCCATCAGCCCTAGGAACCAGAAGGAATTAAAGGCTCAGTAGGACACTACAGTTTTCTTAAGACCCTCAGGGGAGTGGTCTGGGAGCTGTTGGCAAGACTAAGAGGTGGTGTGGTGGTGCAGTGGTTAAGCATCTGACTGCTAACTGAAAGGTTAGTGGTTTATACCCACCAGCTGTTCTGAGGGAGAAAGATGTGGCAGTCTGCCTCGGTAAACATTTACAGACTGGAAAACCCTGTGGGGTAGTTCTACTCAGTCCTATAGGGTCTCTGTGAATCCTAATCAACTTGCTGGCAACAGGCTTGGTTATTTGCTTTTCCCCATGGAGAAAGCACGGTGTCCAGCTGCATTAACTCTCTCTCACTCCTATTCTTACATTCAAGATGTGCGGGAAGATTGGGGGGGTGGGTCCTTTGAGAAGGAAGTAGTTGCCTCACCCACGTTGGGACAGTAATGGGTGATTCTCACATTCCAAAACGCAAATCCTGACTCTGAGCTAGGATGTTGCTGACTCTTGGGACCTGGGTTTGAATCCCAGTTCCGTTTTGATCTCTGTGAAGTCAATCTGTTCTTCTTGGGGTTTAGCCACGCCCTAGCACAAAGGAAAGAAATGCAAGTGCGGGACTCACAGGGAAATCTGAACCTAGCTCTCCACGGAGAAGAGGCAGCCGAGGGCTTCCCACGGAGGGAGTGCCTGCAGGCACTCACAACCAAACTTCACTCCACAGGAGGCTGCTCTCGGTCAGCCATGGCTCTAGCAGTTCTGGTTCCTCTGCGGGGACCGGCCCGGGTTTCCATCGAAACCTTAAAGGCCTCGGTAGTGGGATAGGGCTGAGCAGTTCTGTCAGATGCTCTCATTGACCCAGCCTGCGACTCCGTGGTGTGTGGTGCCTGTCTTGCTTACATTAGGACAGGCGTCACCGTGGCAGGGGCGCGTGAACTGGGGAGGTGGGAGTGGGTGGGTACTCTTATAGCAGCCTCTGTGTGAGCCTCGTTTCCCCCCACCCACCCCACCCCTGTCTGCATCATGGAGGGCTGGTGGAGACCGTCTCGAGGATCTTACAAATAGATTCTTCGAGTCCCAGGAGATTAGACGCCAAGGCAAGAGGTGACTCCTTGTCCGAACGCTTCCTGGAGCGCGCCCAGCTGGGAGCCTAGCTGTGGGCAGCCAGCCGGAAATTTCCCGCTCCTTCGGGGAGCCCAAATGCAGCCAGCCTGCTGCCAGCAGCTCCCTGGGCTGGGAAGGAAAAAGAGGTTCAGCTTCGCCCCTCTGCCCGGAATGGAAATGATTACTCGGATGCCCCTGCCACGGCAGCAAGGCGCCCGCTCTGCCTAGCCTGCGCCGCTTGCAACGGCGTAGCGCGCTCAGCGCCGCCAGGGTTCCGGCGGCTGTTCAAAGCCGCCGCCGCCGCCGCCGCGGCTCCCTCTCCCCCAGCTCGTCCGCAGATCCAGAAGTCGCCGCACCGATCCCCACCGTGTCATAAAATATTTTATTGAAAAAAAAAATCGTCGTCTTCAAAAGAGAGGGAGAGGGGACACCGGCAACGTCGAGGACTCGAGGCCGCGCTGCCCGGCCGTCCCAGGCCCTGTCTTGGACCGTGGCGGC